GCTTAATATTCGATGCTCATTGGTCTATACGATCTTATGCTATGCATATGCAGTTATGTCAATTTGTGTGCGATAGCCCTAAGTCATTCAGTGGTCACTGCTTTTTATATTATCTCTAAGGGCTATCGCACACAAATTGACATAACTGCATATGCATAGCATAAGACCGTATGTACCAATGAGCATCGAGTATTAAGTCGCCATATTAGTGTTCGATGCTTAATATTCGATGCTCATTGGTCCATACGATCTTATGCTATGCATATACAGTTATGTCAATTTGTGTGCGATAGCCCTAACTTTTAATTTAGATTGTATCATATTCTGCCCACTCTCGACTATACTATAAACCAGACAAGGATAAGAGAGGAAACAAGGAATCTCTCTCTCACCCCGCACGCCTCAAGAGGCAGCGCGCATTCCAGGTAGTATATATTTCATAGCGTTTTTCATTGGCAGAATTAGTGCGCACTAAGTGCGCACTAAGGCTTGTTCACAATATGTTATTATATTGAAAGATTGTCTTAAATAAATTATCAAATATTTTTAACCAGTAATATAATATGTATAACATCCGTACGAATCATTTTATTACCTAAAATATTTTTAAATATATATTTAAAACACGATCTTAAATATGAAAATATATTGTAAACAAGCCTTAGTGCACACTCAGTGCGCACCAGTTCTGCCAATGAAAAACGCTATCAGTGCTTACTCCAACTCGAATTATCGTAAACACCCTTTACTTCACTTTAGCTTATTGCACCAGTGTAGCAGTGCAGCTGAAAAGAACAGACCTAGTGTATATGTATACATGTATGTATATACGACAATCTTACAAGTTCAGCGGGCTAAATGTTAGTTTTATCATACTCGTACTGCCACTCTAATCATCATTTTTACTTGCGCGTCATACATACGCCACGTTAAATCGCGTATAACCACGACACGTTTACATAGAAGGTAACAGAGAGTGAAGGAGAGAGAAAAGCAAGAAAGGATAGAGGGAGAGAGATAGTGAGAGAGAGAAAGGAGAACGGCTGGCCATCTTGGAAAAGAGACATGTCGCTTTGGGATAAACGTCAACAGCGGTATTGTGTTTACCGCATGACACACAAGTTCGTCAGCTTGCTGTAAGAATCGGTTGACACGATTATCATTGACGACGACGACCGCGAGGATCGCGTCGTCGCACACGTAGCGTACGAACGACGCGGTGGTGTGTCTGTACTGTCCGCCACGCGGACGTACCCCGAGCATTCCCGAGGTGGTACCGTGGCAAGTTGCCCGTTGTGTTAGTTGCGTCGCACGATGAATCGCGGTGACGGTCTAGTGCAACGACGACGTGTGGTTAACAGTGGCAGCGGCGGTGGCGGCGGTGGACTCGGTCAAGATGGCTCGTGTACAGACCTCGGCACCGGTCACGGCAATGACAAGCTGTCAGGTCAAAACTGTGCGGACGGAGACTGCTCGTCCTCGCAAAAGGATCTCAATTGCAATCCCACCATCGACGAGGACGACGACAAAGAGACACGTCTGACACTTATGGAGGAGGTTCTGTTGCTTGGTCTAAAGGACAAGGAGGTTTGCTGACATTTCAGAAACAAAACCTGAAATTGAAAACATGACGCTTTAGCTGGATGTACACAAGTGGATGCTTTAGCAGATTTGCTCTATGGACTGAATCTGAAATCTCCATTATGATAGATTTAGCCTTGGAATTGACCTTTCAGTATTTTAATTAAAATTTTATCCAGGATTTTGATTCTAATTTATATCTGTTAATTAAATCATCTAAAATGTTTATTGGTATAGAAAAAGAACAAAAGTAGACTTTTTAAAAGCTAATTGTTAATTTCTTCATTATACTTTATGGACTTATGGACTTATGGACTTTATTTATACTGATAAACCATGTATTTCATAAAGATTTCTCATTAATGAGAAAATTTGGTATGTTAATTTAGCATAGGATGGAGTAAATCTATATAATCTCCTTGTGCATGTCTAGAATAAAATTCTATATTTAGTTGTCAACTCTAAAAAAATCGGATTTGTAAGCAGTAGTCTGTTCTTTTCAGCTGCACTGCTGAACTGGTGCAATAAGTTAGAGTGAGAAAACATATTTGTCTCACTTTAACTTATTGCACCAGTTCAGCAGTGCAGCTGAAAAGAACAGATCACAGCAGTTAAACTTCTGTCTATACTCTATAATTTGAAAAGAAGACATCACAGCAAAATTGTGAGCAACTGCTGCTTATTGCAAGAAAAACCAGGTTTTTTTAAGTATCAATGGCTAAGGGAGATCAGTAATATTAGGTGTTTTACTTTAACTGTCTGGAGTTATTCTTAATAATTTTCTTTCTTTGTAGGGCTATACATCCTTTTGGAATGATTGTATAAGTTCTGGACTAAGAGGATGTATCTTAGCAGAGCTTGGCTTCCGGGGTAGAGTGGAACTAGAGAAAGCAGGCATGCGTAAGAAGAGTTTATTGGCAAGAAAGCTTCTTCTGAAGAATGATGCACCTACAGGAGATGTATTGTTGGATGAAGCTTTGAAACACTTAAAGGATACAGATCCACCTGAGACAGTGCCCAGTTGGATAGAATATCTCAGTGGTTAGTTTTTATATTGGTACATTAGTGTAAAAGTTCTTAAAATTTTGGAAAGATCATAAATTAAAAAATTTTTTGGAAGTTAATGTAAATAATATTCTATTTTTATTATTTCAAATAATATGTTTAATGTATTTTGGATAATCTGAAGTGAATTGGGCTTTTATATGATTAAATTGCTTGAAAACTTTTGAGATGGATAGTCTCTAAATCTTTATCTCTAATGTCCATCTTAAGATGTTTTGTGCAATTGCAGGAGAAACATGGAACCCCTTAAAATTAAGATACCAACTGAAAAATGTCAGAGAACGTCTAGCAAAAAATCTTGTCGAAAAAGGTGTCTTAACAACAGAGAAACAGAATTTCTTATTGTTTGATATGACAACTCATCCTCTTACTGATAATCTTGCCAAAAGTCGTCTTGTGAAAAAGGTAAATTATTTATCTCTTTAAATTTTGTATATATTACATTTTAATTGCTTACATGCTTATATGTTATTATATTCATCATTATATTATATTCTGTCTTTCTCTCTTTATTATACAGGATATTTGGTAATTGAAAACATAATGTGTGGATGGTGTACAGGTAAAATAAATCGAATAAAGAAGTCATGTATCATTCGCAAATTTCGCAATAGTTATTAAGATGTTAATGAAACAACATTAGCGAATGAGTATACAAAAAAGTGGTAAAACGAACTTTATGTGTATGTCTAAAGAAGGATAACTTCCAACTTGTGAAAAAGACATTTTTTAAGATCTCGTAGCAATAGTAAATATCAGTTGAGCGAGAGAGGGCGCATATTTCTCTGGCCTGTGTTACCTCGTGTCACACATTACTAGTTGTGTTATTTAATTTGTCGCTATTAGCTAATGTCCAATAATGTTAAGATATTATGTCCAATATTCTAAGAAATAAGACGTTTTTATAAGCTAGAAGTTATCTTTCTTTAAACATACCTACACAGTCTGTCTTATCATTTTTTTGCGCCTATTTACTCATGTTTAATTCCTTAATAATTATTTTTAAAATGGTACATGACTTCTTTGTTCAGTTTTATCTGTTTTATCTGCACATAAGTACATTATACCTTGAAAATTGTTAGACATCCTGTATCTATAATGATTTTAATTATCCTTGGGTAGTGTTATGATATATGAGATACCATACCAGTATAAATATGATATATAATTACTTTGTACACGCATTATAGGTGATTATAATAGTGAGAATATATCGTGTTCAATTATCTAACAGAAATTATGTTTAATATGATCAAATATTTATAGAACGTTATGAATGATTACTCAACAAAGTTTCAAATTTATAATTTTGATTATATATTCTTTTATTATTTCGTAAAAATTTAGATAATTATTAATTACGGTATAGGACTTTTATATTCATTTTAATCCATACTATGCTTCCACGAGAAAATTGTCCCAGGGCACCCTGGATATCTTAAAGAATATATTATATTAATATGCTCGCTACTATAATATTTATTATTTAGGGAATTCTCTTCACACATACAGACGATGTTAAATTTGTTTTCGTGTAATTATATAAAACAGACTTGGTTTGTTTATATGTAGATATATAAGAAAAATGTCGTTGTGTCATACATATGTGATATTGGTAGCAGATATATGTTAAATAAAATTGAAAATATTAAGTTAAGAACCTGAAGTAAGAGATCGATGTGTCACATGTGACGCAGGTAGCGAATGTATTAATTTAATAAATAGAATTTGTTTCTTACAACAAGAATAACTGTTAACACATTGATTTATTTTCGTAACGATAAATAAGTACAGAGTAATTATTTATCAAATATCATGGTATATGAATGTTGACAGAGTTATTTTATACAATCTGAAAAAAAATCTAAAAAATAATTATCTTATCTTTATGTACACACTATTATCTATGTTGATTAGAGAATATGTAGGATTGAAGTGGTAATATAGAGAGAATATAAAGGATTGAAGTGGTGATATAGAGAGAATAACTAAATGTTATTATGTAGTATAATATATAGTATGTAATATAATAATTTATATTAGTGATTTTATTATTATTTATTATTTATTATCTTCTGTTGCTGTTTTAAAAAGATCGAATGTAAATAAATTATATATATTTTATTCAATGTATATATATATATATATATATATATATATATATATATATATATATATA